TACTTAAATAAACTCATTCAAATACACATTTACCGTGAAAATTAGGCCATTAACATTCAACAAACGATCTATACAATTGCATGATTTAATGATACTCAATTTAATTGTCTCGCTATATAAAGTTGAGTTCGAATTAACTTATGCAGTGTACCCGATGAACTGTTATGTAAATACAACGTCCACTCAACCATGCTCACACACACACACTCAACCACTAGTATTACTCTCTGAAAAGATGGAGAGGTTCATTTCATACTTCAACAAACACAGTGGCACAGGCGCGGTTTAATGACTGTGCTTAATGCCGGAACATTTATTCTTTATCCACTTATCATGTTGAAGTTCAAATTAAACTTACTCAATCCCGACCACATCAAATATTTAACCATGCACTCAAATAATCCAACTAATTTGTCTAATTTGATGACAAATGAGATAAATATGTATACTGAACACATCATGATGGCATATATTAGTCTGATTTAATCAATTTATCAATTAACTGTTCTAGTCTAAGGGAATGCCAAAAAATTGTAAAATATTCATTTTATCAGCAATGGTAAATACATAAATAAAGATACAATCAGAGATGTCGAATATTGGACCTTGAATAACACTGGTTTAACTGATATTCGGTAAGACGATTTTTGTTTGTGTTTGAATAATGTGCTTACTACAGCGTATATCACCTATACTAGTCGTATGCTTATGAAATATATAATGTTCAATTTATTTGTGACAGAAACAATGAACACATGTGTATTTAGATCAAATCGATATCAATGAACTAAACGTGAAGTTAACATAAACTGCTACTACTACATTACAAGCCTAGTTATATTCACCAAATATTGATCTCGCTATCATGCCCTCGTGCTTACTTATTATATAGTCATGTTTTTTTAGACTACAAAAGATAATGGAAGATTCAATTAGGGATGTCAAACATTGGAGATTCAATAAAACGCGTCTTTATGAAACTAGGTAAGAACGTTACAAGAGCTATATTGCTATATTCTGATATATTATAAACAAAGCGATAAAAATGTCATTCTGACTGATTCAGTTTTATATACATTTAAATTGCAGGTTAAAACTATACCAACATTTACTTAGACACGATTTTTCAGCTGAGATGAGATACGATGATTTTCTTGAATATGCTGTGGTAAGTATAATATTTGTTCGGAATGTTACATGTCAATATTTTATGCATGTTTGAACATTACGCAGATAAAAATAAAAAATCCGACAGTACCGATTTTATCACAAAAATATGAGAAAATCAGATCGCAAGTTTGACAACAACTATACATTCTCGCCTTACCAAAATCCATTGTGAAGAATTGGATTAGACTAGTAGGATGACCGTCTGAGTACAGAGCAATTTCGGAAATTTAGCACGCTATGTAGCAATGAGCTCAATCATCTGAGGGAACCGGCTCCCTTACCTCTTATTATACTTTTCCATCACTGAAAATTACTAGAGATTGTTTGAGTCGGTTGGAGTAGGATAAGTTTTATTCAATTGTGTACACAATAGGAATTTGTGTATTTCACTGAGATTAATTCATACTCATAGTTTGTGATGCTGAAGTAATAGCCCTTTCACAACAACGAATAATACGCCGAATTTTGCCTTTCAATTATTCACAAAAAATCAAATCTTATCTTTTAAAAAAATCATGATTATCCTACAGTATTCAGAGCTGTAATCTTGCCGTGACTCAAATCCAAAGCTAAGACGATCACAGAAACACTCTTGAGTATCAAATGTTTTAACATCATTAATTTTAGCAGTTAGTGTGTAGTTAAGGAACACAGTGGGTTCCGATCAATGTGCCTGACACAGAAACGTATGCAACGTTAGAATCAGCTACGCCAATGATTCATTTTATTTTTAGAACAAAGACCACATACATTACAAACGATGTAGTATTGTTGGAAATGGAGGTATTCTAAAAAAAAGTGGATGTGGATCAGATATCGACAAAGCCGACTATGTCTTCAGGTAACTGAGAAACGTTTATAGTGTTGGATTTATACGTAGTATTGTGCATATTGTATCATTTGATATGCTATAATTTATGAACAATCAGTATAATACAGAAGTTACTTTCGGTGAAAGAAATCCCGGACAAATCATCAACCTTCAATAAACAAATTTGTCATTTGTAGACTATTAACACAACCATGCACACCATATATCATGAAATTTTAGCGTTATAAAGAAATTGAACAATTCAAAATATCTTCATACTATGTAATAAATCCGGGTAATCTGATTCGACAGTACCAAGCACTTTTTGTGTAGTGGCTATCACGTTAAGGGGAAAGTCAAGATATTTAGAATAGGTGCTCAACAACTACCATCTTTCTTTTAGTTGTGTGCCTTTAGAAGGAGCTGCAAAATGAATACATTGGATAAACATGATAACAAATTTGTTATTCTACAATTTTAAATTTATTAAACTTGCAACAAATGAAAATGCTCATGAGTTCTCCGATATTAGTAGCCCTTGATTTTAATAAATCTATTCAGTTGATGGTTGTAATGCAAGAGCGGTACGAGGTGAAACGTCTAGTGTGTTACTTTTCTGGAAAATTAGGTAAACATCTATTTTTCTCTACGCTTTCGTTGCTTTTAGCGTTATATCATTCTATTGTATGTTTATGTTTATCTTAATGTGTCACTAAAGTATTCACTGATCATAACCCACTGAAAATGAAAAATAATAATTGTCGACTGCTTAGATGGAATATCACATTACATTATTATACAAAATATATAATAACATAAAAATGTAACCTATTAAGGCAATTAAAACCGTTATTGCGGAAGCTCTTTTCCGTTAAAAATACTTTTAAACAAATGATTTGTTATGTAGTTTCTTTTGATAATGATTAGTGAAGTAATTTTTAGTATTTTATGATGAATGTATTTTGTATTGGGTGCACTATGTCGGTAAGGTATGGGATGTGTACAGTAGAGAGTCTGTTACAACTCTCATCCGACCAGATAGCATAAAGCCTCAGTGCTTTATCATTTCATTACTTATTATTACGGTTGTCTAACTATGAGTGTTGCAATGTAGTTGGAATACCTTGATTTATTATAGATTTTTTATAGATAACATGAATTTACGCATCAATTTTCTGTGCGACAGAGCTTTTTAATGTTACTCATGTAAGGGTGATTCGTTTTTTTTTTGGTATCAACGTAGGGGTCAACGGAATGCCATGGTTGGAAAACACAAGCTTCAATAATGATGTCCGCCATCATTACGAATAATAGAAGTAATATTGAACAGTGTGTTAAATATTGGTTCAAATTGTTACTGATGTTCTACATTGTGATTCTTATATAACGTAGGTTGTTGCATGCAGTCAGTTGATAACCTTTTTAACGCATCAGTTTTGTCCATGTAAGACAATATATTGACGTCATACTTTGCTTGCAGGGCTAATCTACCTTGGATTCGGAACTTCACGGAAGATGCTGGAAAGAAGACAAACTTTACTACTTTTAATCCAAGCATTATTAGAACCAGGTTTGCATTAGTACAATTTCACTAAATGTAGCAGTACATATTTGTAACATTGTTAAGAATAAGAGTTTGTCTAGATCTGGTCATCACGATCTTGTGTATAATCAATATATATAGATTATTATTAATTTTAATAAAGATCTATTTTTTTTCTTTTGGCATTCTACTACATACAGTTACAACATCATAGCAATGTACAATGAAAAATATTCAAGCATACATCGGTACAAAAGGAATCATCAATATATCGAATCAACTTCCATGAAAACAATAGGCATATAACATATGAACCAATGAGTACAATGTATCCCATAGTGTCTATGAACAATTATGTTGGCTGGTAACGAGTGAACACATTGCACTCCGCATGTAGTATCGACCACATACACATTTTAGTAGTCATCAGTAGTAATCTGTTTTCAAAAGTTTATAAAATTTTTCGACGTAGGCTGGCATACTATGATATAGGGCACAAGTGTGTAATATCAAATAGTATATTTGGTTGGAGCTAGTTTTAGAAGAAGGTTAATTTATTTCTCTAATAGTAATATTTGTTTGAATAGGTACCACAACAAGTTGTCTGAACTCAAGAAGGATCTCGATGCATATCAAGGTCATCTAATGTTTTCACGAACTGAAAGAATGAAAGGAGTTAAACGTACATTTTTATCGTATGTACGAAAGAATACTACGTTAATTGACTTGGAAATTGATCTGAATTACTCATTTGCAGTTCAAACATTTTGGTTATGCAATAAAAGTGCAACTTCAGGTTAGTTTTAAATTCTTCTTGTTAAAATATATAACTATAGTTCTTGATATATATTATTACATACTTTAAATATTGTGAATTTAATTGCGTTTGAAACCCACGAATCTATAGAATAGATAGAATTGGCCTGTTATGTTCGGATTCAAATTATCCTTGACCACTAATTTGACAAAAATAGGATACTTGTAATGCAGCAAGCTGTGATTATACATTTTTAAAATTATACATTTTGTTTTGGTGTTTTGAAAAATCAAAATATTTTTACCCTGTGAGTTATTGATCAAGGCATTTGTTAAGTTAACTCCCTTCCACTTATGACCTGTAATACCTCCATCAGATAATGGTTGAACCCAATATTAATATAATGATGGCGTTGATTCATCTCCTTCTATTGCGGATTACTTGTGTGTTTCTTTTTTACCGAAATTAATTTTCCAATATGTTGGTGGCTATTTTTAGCTTTGCATATCGACTGCATTAGCTTCGGATTTTTTATCAGGCCGCGATAGCTGTTAAGGCACTCAGTTGGTCGACAACAATTCAGTTCTTTGCAAAGCTACTGTCAATTTATTTCTTGACTAACCATCTCCATGTGGGGTTACGATACGTGACTTGGCTATATATAGGCAAACAAATCAATCACTAGAAAACGTATGCGTAAGTCATAAACACGTAGAATAGTTTATTAGTCAATACAGTAGGCCCACTGTTGTATTGAAGGCATTGCCAGGAAGTTACATTAACAGATACAAGCATAAAACACAACACCGTGGTAAAGACTGGCCCTAATATAAATGCGCATTCAATTTAAAGTTACGGCAGGATACTGAACCCTAGGTGGGAATATCCCTATTGATCAAAAGTTAACATTGTAAAAGCTAATTAATGAAGTGATGTTTTCTATCACATTCGCACTTCACACTTTAGACAGGAGAGTCAGGTCTGACATTTACTACATATATAGACTGGTACGCAATTGATGTCGGCCATGGAGATGTGCCGTTTACACAGCTATACGAGAGATTGGTAGCGTCAAGCGAGTTTCGCCCAGACAACTTTAAGGACATTTCCGCGTTTCTTCTGCAACGATGAGAGGAATAGGAGAGGAGTGGAGGTGTATGATGGCCTAAAAGTCAGTTCGGTTGCTTTTTCCGCATTGAAGTCGACAAAACTGCATCGAAAGCAGCGGAAGCTCCTCGGTCGAAGTCCGCTTTTGCGGTGAAGACAAGTTTCTTATTATTATATTGCAAGAGATATTTTTTTTTATTTTTGATACTTGAGGTTCAGATCCCTAGACATGAGACACTAGGCATACTTGCAGGATTAACATGTAGGCTTCATTTCACCTAACACAGTTGTGATTGTAATACAGTACGAGATGTGTACATCAACATGTGCCTCCTACAAATAAAGACTTCTTGTTGTTGTTTCTTTGACACACTGTGTTCTGTGGTTCAATTCGTAATTCCAGCTCCGTAGTTCTGTGGTTTTAGCAGGACTTTTTTTGGCAGGATTTTTTTTACCGCCCTCTTGCATTAGTTCTGGGGTCTCTAGAAGATGTCATCCATAAAGTTAAATCAGTGTGGCAACAACAACAAAATGACGGGCACAACGTAAAACCATTTCGACCACACAACAGTGGACAGAGATCAGATATCAATTCAAATCCAGAAAAAAATAGACCACAATTGTTTGCACACAAGAACACAGACCAGTGCCCTAAACCACTTAGTGGCTGACATGCCAAAATGTGTGAGCCTCACGGTGGCTTTTAAAACAAGTCACATTTTGACGCTACATAATACATCAAACAGCTAATTTAATTTAATAATCACGACTTTCGTAATAGCGTCCCCGGTGCCATGAAACGAAAGGGAAATCAAGAAACTGATCTCAACTATAGAGGGCAATAAACAAGACCTAATATGTACAAGACATGTTTATGTATATATTCATGTGTGGTTATGATTCCTGAATTCCTGATTCCTGAAATGCCAGGCTAGGCAATTAAATCAATCACTAGAAAACGTATATCCAATAACATACCGGTGAAAGAAGATAAATATATAAAGTGATTGAAGAATTAATACACAAGTACATGAATATTAAAATTCTACAAGTACAATACCTCACTTATCAAGAGTTTGTGTTTAATGATTCCCTGTACCAACGAGCATACACTGTAAATTTCTCAAGTAAACATATCAATTAAAATTATGAATTTAAGTGTTACATAATAGTGCCTTTGATCTGTGTCTGCATGATGATGATATGAGTTCATTTCTGTTTTTCATTGTGAAGTGGTGGGATATCAAGCATGAATGTTTCAAGCAAAAATGTTTAATCTGTCTTCTGCAGTCTAGAGGGTTAGTTCTTTGGTAGCTGCCAATTACAATTTTTTTTATTAGAACACGACCTCCTACTGCATTTGATTTGGCTTACTTTTGTCAACTTTTGCTTTCGTTAGGATTGATGTTGGTCAGCCTAGCACTTACACGCTGTGATGAACTTCACCTGTTTGGATTCTGGCCATTTGATACTGATGAAGAGGGCAACGATATACCATTCCACTATACTGAGGACATTAAATGGAAGAAATCAGTAGCACGGACGCATTATATGCCGTACGAGTTTCAAATTCTTAAAGAATTGCATACCAAAGGTGTGCTTGAGCTGCATATTGGGAAATGTGAATAGCGAGGAGTATAAGGTAAACAGTACGTCACTCAAAGTTAGGCAACAACTGAATAAAAACCAATTCCATAGTATGAATAATCATCTATTGAGGGAAACAGGCTAATGTGTGATCAATTGAAATTTAAATATAAACGTGAAAACAAGCAAATCGCCTAGTGCAGTGTGCAGTGTGCAGGAATGATATGACAGTTGACTCCACTAGCAATACAGAGAACGGGGATGAATAGGATGACTCGGTATGAGACCTGAACGTTTAACTTACTGCCTATGTAAAAAATATTGTATTCAATATTATGAAAGTTGTCCTGTGGCGACTGCTATATATCTTCTTACGCCAGAAGCAAGTTAATTAAACCGTCGTCAACTGTTCCCTTCTGGATACAATAACTAGATTGTATTTAATACAATCTCAGATATACTAGTAATCGGTTGCCAGACTCGACCTAGTTCTATTTCTATGTGTACTGCAGGTAAATTTGTTAACAGTATATGTGATTTTATTTCAAACGTTTTGTGGTGATAATAACCCATTTTGATCATCTTCAAATTTAAATCCCATTTTTAATTATCAAATTAGTTAAATTAGGCTGTGACTAACATGTACATATATCATAAATTGTTGTATGTTTAGCTAAAATACGTGTTAACATTGAATTAAGTGTTGAGAATGAAGCAAATAACCACAACTGGAATTTCGTGAATATTTGCAGAATGTTTATCTTTGAGACGGCAAACAACGCGTGTTTATCAAAGGTTTATTGTCAGCATTATTGCCAGTCAAGACTTCGTTGTGAAAATGTGGTCATAACTTTGTGCAACTTTTTTTTTTTAAATCATTTAAAGTCAAAAGTCAAAAATCTATTACTTTATTCGCATCCACGCGAAAGATTGTCAACTACTTAACCGATGACGACAGATGAGGAAGCGAGTATAGGAAATATGGTGTTTGTCGATATCAGCCGAATAAAATAAAGCCATCGTTTCCGTTTAGAAGAGAGTGTACGCCCATCTATTTTTCCGTTGACAACATCGTGTCAGTTTTCCATCCTCAACAGTGGTTTTAACCCATTCACACAGCTTTTCGTTGTATTTTTTCGTACAAAATAATTTTAGTAAACCGAAGGTGATTGCTTAGATACACGAGTTTGACTTGTTGGGCGCTTTGTTTGGAATTCAAAGTAATGAACGTAGTCATAACAAATTGTACTTGCTAATGACAAAGAAAGAACCTAACATCGTCTAGTCAAAAACAGTAAAGCGTTTCGCTTTGGTCTTCTTGCCACAGGAAATTGTTGCTTCGAACATCGGTCATTTTGTTTCACCGTGATAACAGTTTTATTACATCTCTTATCATAGACACTTGACAGATTAGCTTGTTTGTAAACAGTCAGCGTGTACAGTGGGACAGTAATGTTTGGCATAAAGATCATCCCTCGTTGCGTGTTTGAATAACAATAGAAACCATGTCTCCCGAACGCTCCAGCAGTACGGGGCACAAAATGCCAGCTGCTTTTTTTTTCAATTTCCACACTCGCCCTTGAAATTATTCGTTATCTGACACGCTTAATGGGCTCTATGATATAAGCAAGGGCGTTAGGCAAAACTGTTGAATCAGTGATACATACATTCTGCTTTGAAGATTCAAAAAATAATATTTGTATTATACACATAAACTAGCGATTTGACACGTATTAGATGAATTGAGAAAGTCGTAAGTTATTAACAGCGGCGTACATGAGAGTTGTCAGAAACAGCGCCGCCATCGATGAAATGCACGCGCTTCCACTTCACGATTACTTGCGCGTCTGTGTTCCGCTATAAATGAGAAATTCCGCTAAACTATCAAATAGACTTCTAGTTCGCGAACATTATTTTCGGTATTAGTAGTTGACGGTCAAGTGCCAAATAACCACGTCATCATTATTTTAGTGTAAAATGGTATTTATTTTTATTTGATGGTTTTGAAATTTTGTTATGAAGCAACGCAGAAATAAACAAAATTGTTCATGAACATATTGAACATTTTTTGAACGAGCCTATTTTTTGAGTTATCGCACCCTGACGGCTGTACAATTATTGATGAAAATCGGAGTCACCCGGGAAGTTGGTTGTTGACAACGATGTTGTTTAATGATTGAACATGGTGTGTACCTTCTCTCGTAAAAAGCAGACATACATAATAATGCGAAGAAGAGCACAGTACACTTATGCAATGATACGAGCATTGGACGAAAAAATGCAGGTCACGTGTTATATATGGCGATCACCTTTTGGTCTGCTTTTGATGTGTCATACCTCGTCTATTATTATGAAAAGCGTCGATGAAAGCGTCGTACATTCGAACGTTTTCAAAAAGCGCGCGCCCATGTCTTGTACGCGCTAGACGTACGTTTTCAAAGTATAGGTTATGAAATCACGCGCCCTTTATACGTGGTTTTGAAGTGACGTGCGCGGAGCGCAGAGCGCGAGTGACTTCAAAACCATGTATAATGGGTGTGTCATTTTATAATCGGCTTCTAACATGGCAACAATTTGTAACAATTTATTCAATTGTATTTTTTGTTTCGCGCGATACAGTTAACTTCTAACATGGCAACAATTTGCAACAATTTGTTAAATTTTATTTTTGATTTGCGTGGTACAGTCAATCAAGATCAGCTGACAAAACCATGTTCTAACTATCTTCTCTCAATTTATACAGAGAATATAAATCGTAAATCCAGCGATCTGATTGGTGGGGGGCGTTAGAAAACTCAGAGTCTGGGCGCAAAACCAATAAATGAGTTCGAGTCAAAACATATCACCACGGCAGTGCTTGTAGTACTGTTTTATCATTTCTAGATTGTTACTAATAAGTTAAACTTATTTTATCCTAGAATGACAATATTCATGTATTATTTCTAGTATTGTATTAACCCAGGCACTTTTGCCTACCACCTTTAATATAAGTGGTTAATAGGTTTGGCCATCTTAGTGTTTGTTTATAATATTGCAGCACATTCGCAGTGTTTTTTACGAGTTTAAGTTTTGATTCAGTACGACTGATTGGGACCAGTCAAATCGAGTGCGTTCGGGTTAGGACATTCAAACTTGCACACAATGTTCGCAACGTAATGATAGTGCGAAATAAGTCTGAGTTTTTACTTAAATGCTTTGTCACAGAATAATAGTCTGTTAAAGGTGCCAAGTGCGAAATAATTAGGGGACAAAAAACAAACATGCGTTGAAATCAGAAAAATAGATCTTTTGATTTATCGAGGACACATATCAAAGAACTTGATTACGGATAATGCATCTATGTAGTGATTGAAGGGGTATATTTAGGTATAAGATATATAATCGTTATATGATATGACCAAATATAGTCACGTTACGCAATTAATATGCATAACTAATATTTCAGGCACGCAAGCAGACAAAATTATAATGTAAAATGCATAACTGTAATTCCTAGAAAAATGCAATCACGCATGTGTAATCAGTGATATAATAAAGACAGAAGAGATATGACTAACATTACTATATAGATATCAGTTTACATGGTACTATATGCAAAAGTTGTATATGCTTCAGACAAAATATTGTGTTGGTAGCTTCTTTGAAGTATAGGCCAAATCATTTATAAGCCATTACAAATCCACTAATTGCTGTTTGCTAGCTATATGTATGGTTGCTATTATATTTATGGTTGATTTGTAATTATATTTATGGTTGTTATTACATTAATAGTTGATTTGTAATTAAAAGTACGTTCGATATTACATTTTTCGTTGATCTTTGAATCAATTTATGATTGTTATTACATATGTGTTTAATTTGTAATTAAATGATGGTTGTTATTACAGTTATGGTTGATTTTTATTTAAACGTAAGATTGTAATTACATTTGTCGTTGATCTTTGAATCAATGTATGATTGTAATTACATTTGTCGTTGATTTGTAATTATATGTATGTTTTCATTACATTTATATAATACAACGATATATATGGGAATTGTATGGTGTACAGCAATTTGGATATTTTCATTATCGCGGACGTAATATATTTACGTACACCTTACTTCAGCAACTTCTGGGCAATTACCGAGGGACTTTGAAACATCCCCAAGGCACCGTATGCCTTTGAAGTTCGTCCAAAAGGAAGGCGTAGATGGACTATTCCATTTATTTTTAAATACACAAATGATTATTGTATAACATAAAACTGGGAATGAATCTCAACAAGCAATGTTGAATGTAAATTCCGTTGATTGGTTATTTAATAATAATAATCGCGTTGTGAGTGTCGCGTTCTCATTTTTCGTACAATGGGTGTCCCAGTGCCAATTTGCCAGAACACCCATCGCATAGTCAGTCTTTCACTGGAATCTTTTTGCTTTTAGTTTCATCTCCAAATCGTCACCATATACCAGATTCAAATATTTTTAAATCTGAGATGAAATTCAATAAGTTCCACAATCTCTTGTGTAAACTCCAGTCAAAACGGCCGCTACTCATGTCGGAACGTATCCAACCAGTGCAACGGGAAATCTGCATAAACCCTTCACCCCAAAATGAGGCAAATAGTCCCCTTTCAAATGTCGTCGTCTACATACTTTGACATAATAGCAATAATTGTATAGTCATTATCAAATCTGCATTCAAACTGGACGGCAATTTAGGTAAATCTATTATATGGGGCTAATACGGTGAAACATTACGGGAACAACCCATTAAATAGTGTAATCTTACTTACTTGGTTATCAGTTTATTAGTCTTATTTTATTAGTTATAAAGATTGTTATCTCATGCCACGTAACAATGTGTAAACAAATGTGTACTGACTGGAAGTACTTTTAGACATCGATTGACCTGCCAGTTTAGAAAATCACGTGCGCGCTTGTGTTACTGTAGCACGATCGTACAGTAATCATACACATTTTTCGTGATCATTTAAAATAAGTCAATAGAACAATATAAACGGAAAAGAGTACGAGTATTACTCTCAATTACAGGAGTT